CAGGCCGGGGTCCTGGGTTGGGGCGACTGGGAGGCCGCGAGGAGCACGTTCCCTGCCCCACGCGGGCGCGGGCCCGCGCAGATGGGGGGCGCTGGTCAGCTAGAGGGGCCCCCGGCGCCGGGGGCGAGCCTCCTGGACCTGAGACCCCAGACTCGAGGCCCTCATCCCACCTGCTGGTCTGTCCCTTGGACCCCCTGCCCTGCGTTCCGGTTCGGCCCCGCCTCTGCCCCATCTGCCACCCCTGCCCAGCACACACCCCTTCCCCTCCTCCGCAGTCCCTGGTGGGCCAGACAGACCTCCAGGCCGGGCTGGGCAGGTGACAGCTGGGAGGCTCGCGGCGGGCCTGCTGTCCTGCGGCTCTTCAGCCCCTCAGCTCTGACCTGGCTGCTTAGCTGGAATCCTTGGGGGTGGGGGGCGTTGGCTACTCACTTCAGCCTGGCCCGGGTGCCTGCCTGGTCCGGAGAGGGAGGTGACCGCCTCCTCACTCCCCTATCCCAGGCCCGCCATCTTGAGACCTGTGGCACCCAGTGCCCCACCCGGCCCCAGCACCCAGGGGAGTGGTCTTCAAGGGATGCAACCCAGGGCCAGTTGCATTCCTTCCTCCCGGACTGTGGGCTGTGGGTCCCCACCAAGCCCAAGATGATCACCTTCATGCTGGACCCACAGGGCATGTGTCCCCAGGGGCCCTCCTTCCCCCACAAAGAGCTCTTTGAACCCCGGGACTCCCCAGGAGCTTAAACCTCAACTCCAGCCCTCACCATTTCTTGGGGTTACCCTCTTTGTCTCCGGGCCAGAGCCTGGGACCCTATCCCTTTTCTATCTGAAGGTCCCCTAGCTCCCCTGGAACCCTCTCAACCTCCCAGGCACCCCCACCCCAGCCTCCACCCCCTAGCCTTCATCAGCATGCAGGCTCAGGCTGCCCAAACACAAGGGGATTGTTCTTCTCGAATGCTCAGGGGGTGGGGGGCTGGGAGCATGCGGCCCACACACCCTGGCAGGCCCAGGCCACAGGGAAGCTTGCTTTGCCCCACCCTGTGTCCCCAGACAAGCTCTGTCCACCCTTCCTACTCCCATCGGTGCCCCCGCTCCAGCCTCCATCACCGTTGCCCCCGTGGCGCAGACCTCTTGGGGAAGGAGATCTGAGCTACACAGGTGGACCCCTAGGTCCTCCCAGCTCTGCCAGTTGCCTCTCATGGAGCCTTACAAACAGGCCCCTTCCTCTCTGGGCCTCAGGTTCCTTTCTGGTGAGGCCCCTCCAGCTGTGACAGGCTGAGCCTGGCTTTGTGAAACCTGTGTCACACCTGAGCTGTTCTTCCCAGCCCCGTTCCCCCTGGAGAAACCCACTTGGGCCCCCAGAAGTCTCAAAGCACAGCACAAATCGCCCACCCCAGTGACATGCCAGGGGAGCCCGTCGACCCAGAGAAACAGTAGGAACAGGGCTGGCTGGGGGTACTGAGGAATGGGACTTGGGAATCCTGTCAGACAGATCCTGGCTCTCTCCTGTGACTGGTCCCTTGTGTCCTGGGTCTTCCCACCCCACCCTCACCGCTCCTCAGGGTCCCGTCTCTAGTCCCAGTGCTCCAGGCCCTGTGAGCCCGGTCTTCTCCCTGCACGCTGAGCCTGCTCCTGGTTCCTGCCCTTGGTGAGCTCTCTGTGTTGTGGAAAGACAGGCTAGGAAATGCTCAACTGGGCTCCCTTGAGTTGTAGGCGTATCTTTGGGGGGCCCAGAGGCCTGAGTGATTATATATGACTTGGAAGGTTGGGAAGGGCTTCACAGAGGAGGTGGCATTTGAGAAGGATTTTGATAGAGTGGGGAGGATGGCATTTCAAGCTGGGATCAGCCTGGGCAAAGGCCCAGAGGCCTGGAGGTGCTAGGCGTGTTTTGCAGCCTGGTGTATGGGGGATGGGATGGAGATGAGACAAGACAAGTTGGCAGGGGCCAGATCATGCAGGCCCCTGAGTGCCTGTCTATGGAGATCAACCTCGGGCATTGGGGAGCCAAGGATGGTTGTTGAGCAGCAGAGTGACCCAGTCTCCAGAATGGGGAATGGAAGCTAGAGACCTTTCTTGATTTGAGTGAGACAGTGAGGGATGGGTACCAGTGGGTGGGGCTGTACCACGAAACTGCCCTTTCCCCTGGTGCCCAGTCTGGACCTGGGCCTGCCTTGTTTTCCCTTGGCCATGGGGACTCTTGCGGGGAGTCGGGGGTGCCTAATGATGCTCTGAGGAGGCTGTCGCATTTCTGGCACCAGCCAGGTGGTCAGAGCTTCCCTTCTCTGCCTAGCACTGAGTGTACAGGACAGCCCTGGGTCAAGAGCTAGAGGCTGGAGCCGGTGGACCCAGGCTGCTCCCCTGCAGGCCCCTCCCCCGGCTCTCCCAAGAAGTGGGTAGGAATGGCCATCCTGGGAGGCCAGGTGCATGGGTCTGAGGATGCTGGGGTGGTTCTCGTGGAGGCCTGGCTGGCTGATCAGGAACGGCGAGCAGGGGAGTCAGAATCCCTCAGTGCCCAGGCCCAGTGTCCAGCCCCCTGCCACGCCCTGCTCCGCCTGATCCCAAGCATTCCCCAGCATCACTGGGTGTGGTCAGCATGGCTGCTCTGGGAGTAGGTTGCTAGGTAGGGGCTGAAGGTGCTGAGGGGATGTGAGGTGGGGATGAACTTGGAGACTGAACCCCCTCTCTCCGCAGCCCAGGTGGGTCTTCAAGCCCTAGTTGGTCCAGACTCTGACCAGCAGAGCCCAGGGAATCCCCCAAGGGGCGGGCCTGTCCGGCTGAGTCGCCTGGCCCCAGGAGCCCTCCCCTCCCCTGGATTGTTCTTGCTCCAGAACAAAGCCAGGGTGGACACTTGATCCCTGCGAGTGGGGGGGGAGCTGGCTAAGCCCCCAGCCCTTTGATTGGGCAGCTGTCATGAGAGAGAGAGGGAGAGAGGGAGAGAGAGACAGCTGGGGGGAGGGGCAGGAAGGGGCAGCCGCCATAGCTTACACAGCTGTCACCTCCCCCCTCCACCCCCTCCAGCCTGAGTGGCAGGAAGCCAGGGACAGGAGTGGGCACTGGGTCTGGGGAGGGGGCCTGGGGAGCAGGAGGGAGCACCGAAGGTCAGAGGCCTGGCCTAAGCTGGCTGTGTTCTGCTGGGGAGCCCTGCTGACCGGAGGGGGCTGGGCACCCCCAGAGGTGAGCTGGAGGTCAGTGTGGCATGAGGTGTGGCTACCATGTGGGTGGCCCAGCAGGGACCCAGGGCCCACCAGGCTGGAGCAGCAAATAACTCCCTGGAGCCCCCGTGAGGACAGAGGGGAGCCAGTGTGCCAATAGGGCTGCTTGTTCTTAGGGCCCCTATGAGAGTAATTGGGGCAACCTGTGTCAGGACCCCCAGTTCTCCTTAAAGACAGGAAAGACCTGGGGGAGGAGCCCTCAGAACAGGAAAGACAGAGAGACCAGCAACACACACACACCCTGCCTGAACTTGGACATATACACACACACATAGCACGGTGGGTAAACTGAGGTCCAGGCCAGCTGAAGGCCTGGCCAAGTCACCCACTGAATTTGGGGCAGTGGGGCTCTGCTGCAGACCTTATCTTTCTCAGGGCAGGAACCCCAGTTCAGCCCTTCTGACCTCCTGTTTCTCCTGGGATTTGGGCCCCCATGATGTGGAAATGGTATGAGGGTGGTGTCAGGTCTCCTGTGGTTACCACCCCATAGGGGTTCCTGTGCCCCAGAAAACTCTGAAGCTTAAGACTATGGCTCTAGACAAGTTGTGGTCCTTTTTAAACATGACCCTCGTCTGTGAGCCAGGCAGGGGTCTCAGAGGCCACTGAAGCCTGCTCCCCACCTTTGAAGAGCCCCCCTCTACAAAGAGGACTCACGGACTCAGGCAGACACGACCTGGGACAAAGCCCCGCACTGGCAGGAAGGACCTGGCTAGTCCCACAGGGCTCTGTGACCTTGGGCAGGCTCAGACCCCCCACAGGCATCAGGCTCCCTTTCTCTTCCGTGAATTCATCTGTCCAGTGAACCTGTATGTTCTGAATACCTTCTCCGGCCTGTGTCTGGCCTGAGCTCTGGGGACACAAGGAGGCGTCAGCCCTGGCGCCTGCTCTAAGGGGCTCCTAGGCTTGGCTGCCCAGGGAGGCAGAAACCACGCACGTCATCACAAGTGCTTTGCGGGGGAAGTGCAGGCAGCTGGGGGAATGTTAGCAAGGGCAGCCAGCACCAAGCCGGCCAGGATGTCCATGGAGCCCAGTCGGTGCGTCCACAGTTGACCTCTGACTTCTGGAGAGCCTATGGGCAACATTGGGACGGAGGGAGGAGCGGGTTCTAGGGAGGCAACAGTCACAGGGTGCTTGGGGGGGTCGGGGTTGTCACCCCCGTTGTACAGATGAAGAAACGGGCCTCATGCCATGCAGTGGTTTGCTCAGGCTTTCTGAGAAAGAGCCAGGCTGGGAGACCCCCTCCTACTCCATGCCATGCCCTGGCTACCCCAAGGGTTCCCAAGAAAGTGTTGAACAGCGCTCCATGCCCTTGACCCTCCCACCAGGACAGGACATCAGCTGAGGAGGAAGCTGCCCAGAGGTGGTCTGGAGTGCGCCAGGCTGGGCCGCCTCCCCTGCCCCACACCCTCCCAGGCAAGGGGGATTAGGGCTCGGTCTTGGCTCAGACTTGGCACCAGTTGGTCCCACTCCCTGTGATCCTGCTGGGGTCTGGTCCCCCAGTGAGCGCCCATCCAGGCTGAGCTATGGCGGAAGACAGCCGCTGGAGAGGGATTTCCAGGCAGGATTAAGGTTCAGGATTAAATCAGGGCTTGAAAAGGGGTCGGGTGGGGAGGGCTGGCGACCGGGCTAATCCCAGCAGCTAATCTCCAGCTCCTCCTTTCTCCATCACTTACCAGACTTGACATTCCCCACCCCCCCAAATCCCTTTCTTACCCGTCCCCCAGTCCCAGGGGGAGGCATTCCCTCCATTTTATGGGTGAGGGAATTGAGACTTGGAGCCCAAGTGACTTGTTCTTTGTGCAGTAGAAAGCGCCCCAGGCTGGGAATGCGGCACATGGGAGAGGGCTTGGAAAACCACTGTGCAGTCCGCTGGTCCCCGACAGCCCCGCTCCCTGGTCCTGAATGGACCCGGCTCAAAGCTGTGTGCGGGCTGCCTCTGCTTCAGGGAGCCGGCAGAACAGCCCGCTCCCCCAAGGCGCTGCCCGGCAGAGGCCGCAGGGGCAAGAGGGCCCCTCCTAGAGCCTTGCTGTCTTCACTCCCACCCTCCTTCCTAGGCCTCCCATGGCTCCCCATGGCTGTTCCAGGCCCAATCCACAGGGGTCCCCGCTTCCAAGAGCCCAGAGAGGAGGCTCCCTCCTAGAGGCCTCCTAGTTCTTTCTTCTGATGTTCAAGGGGGAGGGAAGGATACTCATGGAAACTGTGCTCAGCTCATTTTAATTCTCATAACTCTTTGGGGGTAGGACTTGGTTTCCCCTTCTTCCAGATGGGGACTCCGAGGCTCAGATGGGTTAAGAGAGCTGTCTAGGGTTGCACAGTTAGCGAGTTGCCCGCAAGCGCCCCAGTCGCGGCCTGCATCATCTCCGTTCTCTGGGAGTTTGGCTAGCCCAGCTCTGGGGTCCCCATAGAAGGGCAGGGGACCTGAAAGAGAGCTGGGCTCCTGACTTAGCACCTCTTCTGCCCCCCTTGCCAGAGCCAGCCAGGCCACAGCGTGGACGCACTTCCAGGCCGCTGTGGCCCCAGCCCCGCCTGACAGGATGAGCAGCTCAGATGCGGGGCTGGAGGAGGAGCCGGAGCTCAGCATCACCCTCACGCTGCGGATGCTGATGCATGGGAAGGTGAGGGGGGTCGTTGCTGCGACTTGAGGGGGCGGGGGGGGCAAGGCAAGGTAAGGCCTGGCCAGCCGGAGTTGGATCTCAGGTGTCCAGTCTTCTGTGGGGGGCAGGACCTGGGCATTGGGAACCCCCTGACTCCGCTCCTGTTTTGTTTGCAGGAGGTCGGCAGCATCATCGGGAAGGTAGGTGCTGGGCGCTGTTCTGTGTCCCCTTCAACCTGAGGCCTCGGTCCAGGAGAGGAGGCACCAACTGCTCAGGCTAAAGGCCTCCTTCCTCTATTTTTTTCTTCTGCAGAAAGGAGAGACCGTAAAACGGATCCGGGAGCAGGTGAGCATGGAGTGTGGGCACCTGGTTTGGAGGGGAAGGGAGATCCAGTGAGTGCCCCTAGA